GCTACTTTTTTCACACGCTTTGAACACTGCAGCCTAAACAATGATGCGGCTAATTAATGGATTTTTACGAATTTGCCTCGAGACAGACGTGGCATTGGGAGCGACAACGAAAGAGAGACTGAGGAAGTGGCTTATAGATAAGTGGCGCCTGTATATGTTCAAAACTTGTTTTCTTTTTAAAGTTAGCGGGTGCGGCTTATATTCAGATGCGCTCAATAGTCCAGAATTTACGGTGGTCATTTTTGTTTGTACGTTTTGTTGTTATCTTGTCCTTGTGAACTGACCTGTACTGAACAAGCTGACTTACAAACAGAACTCAGTGACCTGCTGCTCTCTCTTTGTGTGATTAAATGTTGGTTTATATCAGCAGATCAATCGAAAAGGCTTCAAGGCAGGAAGCAGCAGCCACATTGAAGTGCCCAGATAAAGAGGCCTCTTCAGGCTAAACCGTAGACTGTACCATTCTTGTTCTGCAGAAACCACTCTATGTCCTACCTTCTGGTCATGTCTTAGCTCTAAGCATCGTCAATATAATGTGAGCAATCATCATTTTATCTGGATACAGTCGCTTTTTTATGGTGTCTCATGTGAGCTGGTTGCTTTATGTCTTGCCTCTGCGGTATTCCACTTAATTCTCTCCTGCAAACCTTTAGCGTTACTATGATGTCATTTTGTTTGGAGTTGTTACGGAGCTTTCTGCATGCTTTTTAACACAAACCCGGATTCACACAGACCAAATTTGAATCAATATTTTTTTTCCCTGAAGCACTCTCTTATCACAGCATAAGAGATAAATCAACCCGAGACGCAGCGTTTCTGTGTCCCTGCAAAATCCATGTTTCATCAGCAAAGCAAATAGTCTGATAATGAAGTGCTGCAGAGATTTTTTTCTTTTTTTATGACACGCAATGCACTTTGGTGTGCAGTTCCTCTATGTGCCCAAATATATCATCTAAACAGGGGCAGGAATGAGAATCTCACACCGTATTATAGGGTTAGCAGATTTTCCTGTGGATGCGTTTGCGCTTGCTCTCTCCGATGACAACCTGACCACAGTTATTTCCTGCCTTTAGGTTCCATTTCTGCATGTGATCCTCACTAGAAAGGAAAATGCACAGAGCATGGATGGATGTATCACAAGAACTGCTTGTTTGTGATGTAGAAATAAAAGCATTAAATGTCAGAGGGATTCATTTCTGCAGCATCAGGAGTTAAGAATGACCCAGAGGCCGTTAGGCATAAGTAATGACCTTATTTTTTTTTTCTAAAATGTATTTTTTGGACTTTTTTTTTTTTTTTAGAGCAGTAGAGATAGACAGAAAAGAAGGGATAAGAATGGGGAGACACCTGCAGCAAAGGGTCGTGAGCGGGGAACTATAGCTCCTGTTTATGGGCCTGTTTTTGGCTTCTTTGTCCATCCCATTCGTATCAGGGTTAGCACATCATGTCTTGAACGCTTCGAGGGAATTCCTTCAAATTTGGTACCAACGTTCGCTTCAACTCCAGGATAAACTGATTAGAATGTGGCCATCAAAGGTCACTGGGACCTCACGTTTCTGACCATAACTCAAAAATTCACACCCTAATTGTGACAAAATTTGTGCAGTGGGACAAAACACTGATGAATCCTTCTTGTAAATCCAGCAGTGAAATGGTAGATTCTACCACCACCAATAAATGCTGATGCACTGAGAAAATATTACTGAATGTAAATACACTGAATGGCTGTTGCAGAAGAAATATAATGCAGAAATAGTTTTAAGAACAGGGTTTGCTTTCATGAAAATCTTATAACTTTATGTAATGTAGTGTATCAGCTTCAGTAGTTTCCTTGTAAATAAATTATTCGAGGCATATTCATGCTTGTTCAGAATAATGAGATGAAGCGTCTTTTATACTGTCTCAGCTCGTGCCAGGCTGTGCCTAAGGAGAGCGTTCAAGTTTAAGGAGAACATCGTTGCTGACTCAGTGCCTGTATTGATTATAAATGTCCATGAGGCATCTTTTTTGCCTGCAGTGACAAATAATGATCAGATCGTTGCTGTGACTGCAAGCTTGTAGCAACTCATTTAGACGGTGCTGGACATTTCCTAAAACATGCACTTATTTTGGGAAACTGCAGTGGGACCATCCATCACGTGTTTATAGCTAAATTGTCCACCAACGGTTACAATTATGCCACACATATGCCGTCTTTTTTATTCTCCTCACCATGTCATGTGTAAATTTCAGTCAAAATATTGCGTCTGCTGGTCTGCGTGGTCTCACACTGAAAACATATGGTCTCCCTGGCACTAGTTTGTAACCCATTGACTAGATAATCAGTCGGGATATCCAGTGTTACCTTCACGATAATCCTGAAGCATGAGCACACTGGAGCCTCAGCTGCTGCTTTAGGAAACAGCTGGTCATTAGTGTTGACTTCAATAACAGGTACAGTAGAATTAAAAGCCCCCCAGGGGGCCGTCAGATCGCCCATCATCTGCAGTTACCAAGACAACATCATAAAGATGATGGTCACATGACTTTCACACTGCACCGTGTCCTGGGGATGTTTAATCTCGTGTTGGTCTTTGTGCTGCTACAAAAGTGTCAGATTGACAGAGGGCTATTTTAGGTTCGTAATGAGATCCCAGGAGTGTTGCGTGAACACAATGGTGCACATCTGAACGGCTTCACTGGTGTTCCACATGTGGAGCCATCTGTGTGTTTCCTACTGAGATACGGTGGTCTACCACAGTTGAGTCTTCTTTTATCTGTCTGTGGATTGCAGTAGCTGTGGGTAGGGACATGTATGGCAAGCCCTGTTAACATTTAATAGCTGCATTTGACTTTCCGAACTTAACATTATAGATATCAACAACATAACAGTTGGAGATATCTACATTTCAGTTTTGACTTGTCACAATGATAGTTAGAGATATCTCAGTTTCCACTAGTTAAAACTGAATTACATTTAGGATGCGTGACGAGGCGAAGGGCGGTTTTCTTGAGGTCATTGCAGATATCTGTAACTCAGTTTTGACTCGTCGAAAGTGAGTTACAGATATCTCCAACTGTACAATTATGTTGTTGATATCTATAATGTTTGGGCTGCAAGGTGGAGCGGTGGTTAGCATCGTTGCCTCGCAGCAAGAAGGTCGTCGGTTCGCATCCTGGTGAGGACACCCGGGATCTTTCTGCGTGGAGTTTACATGTTCTCTCCGGGTTCTCCGGCTTCCTCCCACAGTCCAGAAACATGTTGAGGTTAGTTGGTGATTCTAAATTGTCCGTAGATGTGAATGTGAGTGTGCTTGGTTGTCTGTCTCTAAGTGTAGCCCTGTGATAGACTGGTGACCTGTCCAGGTGAACCTGCCTTCACCCTGAGTCAGCTGGGATAGACTCCAGCCCCCCATGACCCTAGTGAGGATTAAGCGGTGTACAGATGATGGATGGATGGATAAATATCTATAATGTTAATTCCAGAAACACAAATGTAGCTGTTAAATGCTAAAAGGGCTTGCCATAGAAACTGATGTGATTCGTTCTGGGAGGAATAAAGTTGTGGATATTTGAAGTTAAAATTGTGGATAGGAATAATGTCACTGTGGATATCTGAAATGTTTGTTTTGACTAGGAAGAATTGAATTGTATTAGATATCCAGAGTAGCTATTAAATGTTTACAGGGCTTGCCATAGACATACAGACTGTTTCCATCCAGTCAAGCCTGCCTCAGGTATCATCTAGCAGGGTTGCTTTGTCAATATCAAGTGCTTCTTCATCATATGTAAGCAGCTAAAGTCAGTCTAGTTGGCTGTGAAAGTGTTTCACTCTGAGGACAAACCATCCCTTCACCTACAGCTTTTTTGTTCATGCTGTCTGTCCATCTGCTCTCACTGCAGACATCAAATTCATGTGTGGCAGGTGTGTTCTCACCCTTTCTCTCTGAGGCTAATTTAGAGCATCTCTAACACAGAGGCAGAGTGGCATCACCTCCATTTAAACGATCAATCTGAGGTTCCCTCCACTTCAGGCTTCCTGCTAAACACCCATGACAGGCTTGATCACCACATTGACTATCTGCCACGTTGACCGCTGCTTTGTTCAATGCAGAGCTCAGAAGATAACAAGCTAATTTGTGTAACACCAACACCTTGTGACGTGTATTTATAACAGTGACTGCAATCATAAATTATACTTCAGGTTTGAAACACATCTTGTTGAAACAGTTATCACTACGCATTGCTGTAAAGTGCAGCTTGTGCACCTGAAGCCTGAGACAGATTTAAATTTCACCAGTTTACTGCATTTGACTTCCCTATTAGCATGTGTCAACCATGGAGTCGTCGTTAATGCATCGGTGAAGTGGAGCCGAAGTAAAGATTAACCTGTTCTCACAACTACGAACCAAGACGGCGCTGAAGTGGCTTCGGGACAATTGACTCAATGTTCTCGAGAGGGATCGCTATAATCAGAAATCTCTTAAGAGACTTCACAGTTAATTGGTGTTCTTGTTCAATTGACGGAGCATCTACAAGGGAGAAGCAAATTAGTTGTAGGAGCATGTCATCAGGTGGTGTAGATTAATAAAAAATGGAATCTAAAATTAAATATCCTATATAAAAAGATGAGCAAAAATGAAAAGTGTGTGAATACGTTCTGTGTGATCACATCTATTCATGTTGTCCTTGCCTCCTCTTCGTCTGTTTATCCATAATGCAGCGTTGGAGCAGGGCTCTCTTTCCTCTTATGCTGAGTCGCTGTGTTCTAATAGGTGTTCAGTGCCAGTTGTAGACTGAATGAGTTGTTCTAATGAAAAGCCTATTCAGTGGGCTGTCATTTGTCAGCCGCTATTAGACAGCACTATGTAAACACTGGCTGACAGCAGAGACGGTTCGCTGCTACTCAGAGATGAAATGAAAATCAATCTCTCTTTTTCTCCTATAAAGGAACACAGAGATGAAAACAAAATAAGACAGTAGCTGGTAAAGTCTTCATCTGTTCTTGCTCGTTTTTTCAGAATGGTACCGACTGTGGCTTCCTGGTGCGGCAGAACTCTGAACTCCTGCGAGCCCTGGACGAGTTGGAGAAGACTTGCACCACACTGAGGGAAGAGAATGGCCTGCTGGTAAGACTAAAAATAACAGAGTGTGTAGTCTTGACTGAAGGCTTTGTAGAAAGTAGGCCAGGTGCACAGACACACTGAACAAAAAGATGGAACGCCCTCTCGTTTGGGCTTCACATTCATCTATTCAGTTTAGAAAAGGACAAATATGTTTTGCCTTTCCCCGTGTATCACCTGAATTAGGGCTGTCACAATACACCAGTATCACATCACTATCATGCCATGTAACACTGATGTCATGCTGATAATACACATGTGATAATAAACCAGCGCTAGTAACTATCTGGTTGAAACTCCAACACAGAAACATACAGAACAGCTGTGGTTCCAGACTCTCATCACCTTCCTGTACTTGTATTTTAAATGTAATTCATTTGCCCAAAAAAGAGATCAAACAAAGTTAAAGATGAATTTGACTGATAGCGTTACTTCTTTCAAATGTTCTGTAGAGCCTGAATTCTTCTATCGGCTCTAATCAAAGATATAAAAAGCTCCAACATGACCAACCATCGATGAAATACATGATTGCTATACTATATAGTGAAAATCTGATATCGACATCCCTATCTGAAGGTCTGAAGGTCAACAGGTAGCACAGGTTAGATGATTTTAAACTAACAAGCCAGCTACTGGGTCCTCATTCAATCTATAAACATGCCCCCCCCCTCCCCAGAATAACCATCTGTGTGACTTTCTTGTTTGGCATTGCTGTGTTAGCATTTGCTGCAGGCCCCGTCTGATGATGATATTTGTTTCCCATGTGTTTAGCGGAAGAGCAGCGCCCCAGAGACGGAGGAGAAGGTCAGGCGGCTGAGGAGAAAGAACACAGAGCTGGCTGTTCTCGCCAAGAGGCTGGAGGAGAGGGCTCGGAAGCTGCAGGAGGCCAACCTCAAAGTGGTAAACTGCACAAATAGCATACTTTAAACGTTCTCACTGCAAGCTGCGTTTGCTCTCACTCTGTGCCGAATGCAGTGATGCTATGAGTGAGTCATTATCAGACATCACCGTCCAAATCATCACATTGTCATCTCATCTGGTAATGAGTTAGTAATAGAATCGTCAAGCGTGTGATGAATGGGAGCCTTGTTGTAAAATACCAGCTACCTAATGAATAATTTAATGCATCAATACAGTTGCTAAAAGAGCTCAGTTTTCAGTCCAGGAAGGCCCTTAAGATGCAGTATGTTCTCTTATAAGAATGCGAAAAAAAAAAGAGCAGCAATAAATATTTTCCTTTATAAAACCTTTCTTGGATGCAGTTTTTAAACCTGAAATGGTGGCAACACCTTAAAATAAACTTTTTTCTTGCACTGTGTTTTGCAACATAGCTCACTAGTTTATTTAACATCTGCACTGATACATAATCATAAATATGAACTTTTTGGGGGCCAGAATAAAGAAATAAACTGGTTGAATCCATGTGTATGCAGCAGTTTGATAAAGAACTGAAGGAAGAAAATATAGAGAAGACAAGCTGTTCAAACTGTTTTTTACTGAACCAGTGGCATACAAACCACTGAAACACACAGCATCAGCAAAATATGCCTGATGCCCAATGCCTACTTTCTAATGCTCTGTAGTCGGTTAAGATGCATTATTTTTAGGAAATGTTTTATAGACAGAATACAAATGTTTGTTCCATTCACTTCCACGACTCACAAATTAGCAGTAAAATGTTATTAATTAAGGTTAATAAATGTCTCTGAACAAATGTCATCTAGATTCTAATCCAACACAAATGTACCAGGAAGTCTTGGTACAACAGTCCAGTACAATTGTTGCCACGCTCACTGGCTGCTGTGTGTTCTGTGTGTACATGATCACCAGACTGAGAGACCGGCGGTGGTGCAGCCCGCTCTCATTAATCTGGTGCTGCTTACTGGATACATGCATGTACTGTAGATCTGATGAAAATACACCAACAAAAGTTCTGCTCTGGATTTGACTGGATAGTAACTGATTGTAAAGAATCTATTGCTGACTACAGCTGCTGTCCTTGTCCTGACAGTGCTGATAGATCGGTTAGGAACAGCTGATACTGAAAGTCCACATCTACTATTCCTACACACTGCAAATGTTTGGCTCAGGGGAAAGTTTTACTGGTTGACTGGTTAACTAATAACTACTCTTCAAACAATCAGTTGGTCACAGGGGCAAACAAGCAGCCTTATTAGCCTAAATGAATTAGAGACTTAACATGAAAAGCTGCCATTTGCAGCATATTGAATGATTTTAACTTTGCTGTTTTATACTGGAATGATAAAAGCAGACTTGGAGCAGCTGCCTAAATGCTTGTAATTTCTGAAAAAAGAACGATATCACCTGCTGATCCAGCACTGAAACTATTGTTGAATATAACAGACAAGCTAGTCTTCCATTTTTAGAGGATCTGCCATGTAGGTCACTGAGCTGTGAAAGTTTACACTCAACTTTTTAGCCATCTGCTTGAACAAAATGCAGCGACACCGACAATGGTGTTGGTTAGTTTGGAGGCAAATCAGAAAATAATCAGCAAACATAACCTCAGACCTAAACTAGTTGGCAGTATTTGTTAGGTGGAGGAGGTTTGCAGTGTTGTCTTCACATGTAGTCTGTTCCTCCCGCCGCTAAAGATATCAGATTATTCCTGGAAGGCTGTTGATGTAGGACTTTTGTCTTCATGAAAGAAATACTGCCGATTGTCTTACCATGCACAGTTTGCTTCAGTGAGGGCATATCGACCAGTTGACCAGACGACCTGGACGCTACGGCTGGTTTCTTCTCGTGTGTCATTTGTCAATGGAAGTGTATTCTAGACCTCTTCTCTAATGTCCTTTGTTGTGATGAATACATGCTTCCTCTGCAGGTGAATTCCCCGTCATTGATGAGACCTGGATCAGTGGAACAGTACAAGAGGGCGTTTGCCCGTCAGCGAGCTCGTGATCTGGCCCAGCACGCCGATGCACTGCTGTGTAAGGACAAGGAGATTGCTGCCCTGCAGCAGGAGTGCAGAGAGCTGGAGGCACGGCTGGGCACCACTAAGGTATTCATGTCACAACCCATCAGTCACATCAGGAAGGTCACTCAGCCTACATTGAACTGTGATCACCGGCTTCAATTCATTCTCGACTAGAAGGCCGATTCCAAGTTTTTACCCCAGTTTTCCATCTAACCCCACTCTTCCTCACTGCCAGAGGCGCATGATGCCACAAGGTTGCTCTCTGCTGGACAACATGGGTACTGCTCATCCCCCCTCACGCTAAGCCTGTGTTACTAAGGCTGCGTCACTGATGATGTCTAGATAGATGACAGTGCATGAATCGGCTGCCTTTCTCAGTGCCTGTTTTTAATTACCAGTGACTTAAGAGCTGCTTCTCCTGAATGTGAACATCTGTTGGGTTTAATAATAAGGGCTTTTTATGGTGCGAGCCGTGCATTGATCTAGTGAGAGCGTCTGTGCTGAATCCCATGTTACACTCACGTTGAACTACAAAATTGAAATGTAATCTTCAAATCAAGTGACTCTGACATTTTTGATATCTATGACCCAGAAACAGTTTTAGTGCTGTTTTTAGTTGTAAAGTCTCGAATTCAGCTGTTTATATTTACAGCTATTAAGTACTATTATAGTGTATTTTGAAGTATAAATTGCAAGAAAGCATGGTGCAGATGATTACACATTTAGTGTTTGAGTCTGTTTCGTTCTGGGGATGCAGCGTGACAATGTTAATGAAAACTCTGAAAGAACAATGATGTTTGATGTGTGTGCAGGGCTCCCCTCTTCCATCTGGCCGAGTGGAATTTGAGAAGCTTCTCAGGGAGTCTCAGAAGGAGGTGCTGCGGCTCCAGAGGCAACTCTCCGTCACATCATCCAGGCAGCAGCACAACCAAAGCCCCGACCACGGTGGCCCGGAGAAGTCAGGGGAAATTGCGAAGGAGGAGGGGGAAGATAAGGTAAAGTCATCCCCCTTACTTAATAACACAGTTAAACTCCACGCTGACCCCTTAATCAGCTTTAATGTAGCCAAGTGAGCCGAATCTTTGCACAGTAAACCAGCCGGAATTCAGTTCAGCTATAATTTTACTCATTATTTGTGGTTAAGTATGGGATTACAAACAGATCAGATCTCGTACTTACACCCAGGACGGTGTTGATGCTCCAGGACAGTCCGGAATACACATTATCTGACCACGTAAAATATAGCGTACAGTTTCCCCCGAACCTAGTGTATATTTATGTTGGCATGGATGTTTTGCAGTGTTATATAATGGCTTGTCGTTGGCTTGATACTAATCTGCCAGAAGCCATAATGAGATGATTCCCAGTCTTGAACTTGGGCCTGATCAAAGATACTAAAGTCACACACTCTGATCCTCTCCGCATTTAATGCTTATCGTCTCAGTATTCAGTTCTTAGAAACAATTCTTCACCAGAGAATGGACGCTCAGATTTATCCGGCACAGTCCAAAAAAAAAATAGAAAGATGCACATAATTCATAAATACATAAATAGGTTACATAATGTAATGTGGGTTTTTATTTGTTTTTTGTAAAAAATTTCATTCATCCGCAGCAGAGAACAGCTGGGAAACTGTTGTCCTTATGAGAAATGCATTTTAAAGGTACAGTTTCTGTTTATTAATAACAGTTTCTATCACTTTGAAGGACGCGCGTCTTATTCTTGAATTTTAGGTGAAATCGTCCACTCTCTGAGAAGTGGAGTAAATTCTCTGCCTGCGAAGCTCAAATGAGAATGCCGATTGTGGTAATCTCTCATTTGTGGGACGCACACACGCACTCCCAGTGGCACGCGCACACCCAGAAAGGGGCCATGTTGTGTGAACTCTAATCCCCTCTAACAACAGAATGGTACAGTCCAGTAATCCGCTCTCTGTTGCTGTGGCAGCGGTGAGAGGGTTTTGGGTGGTAGGTAAGACTCCAGTCGCACTAAAGACTTTTCTATCTCGCCCTGCTCTGGATAACTAGCAGGCCAAGGGACGCCTTGACGTTGCCACAGATCACACGAAAGGGGTAGGTCGTCTTCTCAGTTTTGTTGTCTCCGTTCGTAGGTGCCAGCGGTCCGTTGCAGTTCTCCTTGGCTAACCTTATATGTGTCTGCTTGGCGTGAGACCGAAGCCGTGCAGCACTCAAAGTTGAGACTTAGCACTGGAAACTAGTCAGTGTCATGACGAATCGGGAGCGTGAGAGAACTGGCTCGAGGCAGCGAGTGTTGCATTTATGTTTGATATTAAAATCAGCAGCTTATTCTCAAAGATTATTAGTATGTTACATGCACCATCTTAGTATTACAATATGACTTGCAGCTAAGGGGATTTTTTTCTTTGAGGTTTCATCGCGGTTGTTTTTTAATATTCATCCCAGCAAATCCTGTGGTAAATCCCACCCTTGTCTGTGATGGACTGCCACTTTCTTACAAATTAGAAAGACGGGACAAGCATGAGGCCTAGTCAAGGGCAGCCTGTCAGAAACCCGGTTTTGTAACAGTCATATTTTGGAGCTTCCAGATGTAGAATTTAGACAGACCGACTTAGTGACAGGGTGGTAGAGCGTTTGATTGGTGGACATCGATATGTTCCGTATTAAAAAGAAAATCAACGGCCAGGCCAATCCATTAAGGTGCTTTTAAAAGAAGTGATCCAGTTACCCGTTTCAGTAGTCTGCAGGGATTACACCAATGTGCTTATGGCATTCAGGGCCTGCTGAATGGGATCTGACCCTGCTTTAGTACGCATGGGCCCAGGGTGTACTTGATCCTTTAGTATACGTGGACCACATCGGTGGAAAGTGTGCAGAATGGCACCCCACTGCGTGAAGGAGTGTGCCATCTGAGGTGAGCCTCTAAAGTAGAGCTCCGTCTGACAACAACCTGTTCAGCGGCACCTTCTGTGGTCTCAACCTGAGCACAGACTGTAGGCATGACTGCATCCTTCATCGGGTCGTTCAGTGGTAGGAGATTTATCTGACTGTGTTTACACATCTGCAGGATGCTTTAGTTTTTTTAGTCTTAATGCATGACCTGTTTACCACATTTCTAGTTCAGTTTTGGCATCCCTTCAGTCCCAGGCACATGAAGTAGTTCTGGCTGTTAATTGCCCTGTCATTTCATTTACTGTTGCAAAGAGCACAGAGGTAGAGGTAAGACAGGAAAAGGGATTCCTGATGTGTTCCCTGCTAGGTTAGAATACTATTCATCTCATTGTATGTAGCGACTAAGTCAAGCCAAAATGCATGATGCCTCCATTGGGTAAATAAAAATCTACACTGAAATGTTACTTTACTTTTAGGCCAACTCTTCTTTGAAGGCACTTATATTGCATGTAAGCCTGACTGTGAGCAAAATAAACAGACATATATGCATACGTACGACATATTTTAAAACACAAGGTTTACTTGAGACCCAAAAAAGGTCAAGAATGCATTGTGCCTAATTCATGGATCATGATGACTGAATTATTTTTTAGCTTTATAAGTTAGGATTGGGATTTTAGAATCTTTCTACTGAACTCACCTGTTCAATCCGAAACCTTTCAAACATCATAGCAGAACTATTTGTTTACTGCTCAGCTTAACAGTAAAGAAAACCCAACGTAGGAATTACTAAAGTTTAAAAGAACAAAAACACAAAACATTCAGTTGAAATCTGTAGATTGAGAAATACAGTTTGGTAGACAGATGAACTGATGTTAGCAGCCTGTTGCAACAACTTGGAAATGAGATCAGATAGAAATGGAAAAAAATATTTGTGTCTAGTATAAATATTATGAGCAGCAGAACGTATAAAATGTGGTTAAATGTGGGTTTACACGTTGAAATAAAAGCAGCCTCCTGATTTTGGCTCCCTGTACTTTCCAGTTGCTTCTCTCTGCAAATACAGAAGGTTCTTATTCTGAACGTTCTTATATTAAAAACAATATCTTTGTTTGTGTGGCACTTATTAAAACAGAGTTACAAAGGGCTTCACATAACAAGCCAAGATCCTGGAAAGCAAAACATTAAAACACAGTAAAAGACAATACCAGAACTAACAAGCAAAATTCTGTTGACTCATGTAACGCCAGCAAAAGATAAATACAAATCTTAAACAGTCCACATTAAAAGCAGAATCCGGTTGTTCTGCTTAGATTATTGATCTGAAATTGAATGAAACCCCTGAAGTTGTTGTATGACGATCAGCTGATTGTTGTCCACAGAGCCGCTCTGTGATGGTACAGCAGTGCGACACAGCGACGCTTTGTTTACCCCCAAACAATCGAGCAGCAAAGTCCGTTTCCTCGCTGCCTCGCAGACAGACACTAACGTTCCATTTGAGTTGTCATCGAGTTAAATCGTGGAAGTATTGTTAGACAGTGACCCACTGTTTGCTGCTAGCTAACGCAGCACATTGTCACTCAGAGTAACTGACCTTTTACTGAAAAGCCCCACCAGGGACAGGAGTTGAAAATTAGCTTTATGTTATACGCTCTATATGCAATACATCAGATGTGTTCTATGTACAAATGAATGCTCCTTGATCAAACAAATGAATAAATATAGTTAATGGACTGTAACCATCTTTGGTCAGCCTTTTCCCGTTGAATTATTAGTTTGATTAACTGGCGTTGGTAACTTTGACCAACCACAGCATCTTTAAATCAGACCATTTCCTTGTCCATAAATCAGACACCATATTATTAACTGGTGTGCTGATAATTCATATTTAATGAAAGACCAACAGAATAAATCCGTGTACATGATAGTAGCCTGAACCAGCCATAGACTGGCCTCATAAAGTCACAAAAAAAACAAACCCTTAGAGTAAATTACGGCTGTCTGTATCTAACCCTAAAAACAGATCGTGAGGTATGTAAAAACACCAATGTGACCACTTTGAGCTCATGAAAAACTCTTGATAACATGCTGTTTGATTTATTTGCTTATTATGAGTCATGAGTTTGAGTGATCCTTTGCACAAACTTAATTTGGTCCTTTTTTGTAGGATACATTCTGATATTTATCTTTATAAGCAGATTAAAGATTAGCCGCTGCTAATTGAGAACTCTTGGGGAATCCATTGGGGGAAAAAAATCAATCTAATGAAACCATCCAAACACGTATTTATGCACTGTGTAAAATCACCTTGGAAGTGGTTTATGTTACCTCCCAGGTGTGACTTGAATTTAGATACTGTAAAGTGGGTACAGCATGTGCACCCAGTAAAGCATTCTAATTGTTTTGCTACCCTCCGCCCCTGACCTAGCAGTAGACTATGACATATAAAAATGTCCTAATACTGGAACAATAACACAATGTACCGAGCTTTCCTTTCTAGATATAGTTTTGCTGCAACCCATGGGACACAATGTGAGATGCGCAAGTCTATCTACGGCCTACTGGAACACTGAGACCACGCCGTCTCATTGTAGTCCGTATGACAATAGAGTGTGAAACTTTGCACCTTATGGAAGTACAACCTGTGAAGCATGAACAGCTGATTAGGTCACACTGAGTTCTGTTAGGTTAGTGTGTTGGTACAGAAACCTTAGAGATGGTTTACAATGGCCTATGGTTTGGGTCGGATGCTCTCTGGGACGGGCCCTTTATTCCTCACTACATTGTATAAATGAGACATTACGTAATATTCCCCCCTGTGCGCTCATTCGTCCAAACCATGTCAGAATTATGTCACATGTCGCCTGAACACTGATTATATTTGTTTCCAACTCATCACTGTGAGCTCTCACATTTACAGAAAGAACGGCCTTTTAAGGAATTCGACCTGCATGAGTTTTAGCCATATATGACCTACTGACTGTAATGAACACATAAGATGACGTGTGTTGTATTAAAAACATCTCAACTTCTTCAGAGGGTTCTTCTTTTTGCTATGTTCATCATTAGATTGATAAGTTAATGCAGCAAAGGATTACAGTGAATGAGAGACGATAGAGAAGTACGATGATAACTTAAAAAAAGATTTAAGTTTGTGTCACGATCTTATCTTGTGTGTGTTTCTCCCACCTCAGTGTGCAGCTGCCAGATTGTAGCTCCACACACTTAAGCCAGCCCACTCAATGGATACGTAGTGCTACAAGCTAATTAAGAATTACAAGAAGACGGGCTGGTTTAAATGTGACTGACCAAATACAAAGGTGGGAATTTTGCCAGGGTGCCGGGATCACCTGGCACGTCGGCACTTACGAGGGACGCGACGGGATCTGTAATGAAAAGCAGTCGGTAACAGAAAAATTAGCAGAGTTAACAGCGCTCAAAGCCCTCATTCCTCTGCACTGTTTTTGACAGGGGGCCAATGGAATTAGTGCCTCCTGCTGGCCTTTCGTCACCACTACTAACACCATCTGGTCTTGTGTCCAAAAGATAAACCCGGGATAGCCTCGCTTAACTTCACAGGCATGCCACTGATTTGGCGCCGAACAGTCACAGTGAGTTAGCAGCTCCGGGCCTGATCATACGTCCCAGAACCAGCACACCTTCCTGACTGCTGCAAGTTGCTGCACATGTGGGAGAACATGAACGTTTCGGTGCACTTAGTATTAATTTATACCAAACAGAATCGGCTGCTTTATGACCCGAAGGCTTGTCCTTCATGGAAGCCAGTCTGTCTGTTATTGGCAGGTTGTTTTTGGAGACAGCTTAGTGTTTTCTAAAAATAACGGTGACTGCACACAGCTGGCAGAACAAAGTCCCCTTTTTCATTCAAATCAGACGTCTTGTCATAATTCATTGTCTTTCTGAAGCTAAAACTGGACCGCTTCTCTCTGAACCGCCGTCAGCCTTCTTGATAGACGATTCTGCGGGTGAATTAATTTCCAACTGTTTCTGGTCACTGGTATTGTCTGCAGCTGCTGTGTGAAACAACAATCCTCATGTCTCCAGACTGTGGTCCCAGAGCTTCCCCGGTTTATATATATCCACCATTTCTCATCATTGCACTAAAAACCTTTGAACTATTTTACATACTTGGCGGCTAATTGCTAACAGATCATCTTGAGACTCCGTTTGTTTTGTTGCTGCATCTGTTCTTCTTAGCAGTCCAGAAGTTAACAAATAATGCAAACTTGGCATGAATTAGAAGGAACTACGTTTTTGTAAGCAGCCCCTTTTGGTTGTGTTGTGTTAATAGCACCCCTACAAATAAATTGCCAGCCCAGCATAAGAGTTTTTCCGTGCATTATTGTGAAGATCCCCACAAGAATCTTTCTGTAACTACCACACACTGTGCCTGAAGTCCACAGCGATCCGTCTTCCAGTGTAAAGGAAAGGAGAGTGCATGAAAGAGAGCCCCTCTGCGACACGTGGCAGAGCACCTTTGATCCTGTTACTAGGTGCTGGCCTTTGCTGCACTAACACAGTTTTACTCTGAACATAAGTAGGTTTGCTCTAAAATTAGATGCTGATTCTTAACTCTTAACCCCGAACCAGCGTCAGCCTGCCCCCCACCTGGTTCTCGGTTAGAAGAATTACACAGTTCATAAAGATGAATGTGTGGCAGTAATTGGCCAAGAAAAGTAACACAGTGTGAAACTTTCAAGTCATTAAACACTCAGCTTTATTAGAAAGGACAGCCTCCCTGGTAATGTGTTCCAGTCATGTTGGAGGCGAGAGGGATTCCCTCTGGATTATTCACTGATTGTAGTGGGACAACTGGAGAGGAAGTTTGCTCCTAATCCGTCTCAGAGGGTGGTGAGGGTTACTGTACGATTTAACAATCACACACTTGCTGCTTGTCATGGTTTTAGGATCAGAGCAGAAGCTTTTAATGCTTTTGATTAGGGCTGACCCACTATCAGGTTTTCTCTAGACCATTATCTTCACTAAAAGAATTCATGATAACGATGTCATCGCAATATGGACAGAAAATTAAAAAAAGAAGAAGCTCATCAGGCAAAAGTGTCCTTAACTTGTTTGATATATGTTTTGTTTCATTTTCAAACAAATCCCACTCAAAATATGAGTGTATGGAGGTGGGGAGAGTCTCGTAACCGTACTTTATGTTTGTTTGATCCTTAAAGATTTGAACTAATGCTTTCAGATTACATAATTTTTCCTTTGACTTGAGCAGTTTGACATTGTTCATCTAAAAGATGTCAGACAAATCCAGACATCTGTTTGAGTTACATAGCATCTAGGGTGGTCTATTTAAAAATATTAATTGTGTGTTTTAGTAAATGAATTTAAAATATAAATGTATGGAGGTTAAGACAGTGTCTGTAACCGCAGAGGTATTATATGTTGTTCCAGTTTCTGCTTGCTAGATTATTTACATCAGTATCACATGTGTATTATTAACCTAATATCGATGTTTCATTTTTTTATTTATTGTCTATACCAGTGTATCATGACATCTCTAACTTTGATCTTGATCTTTTACGGATCACCTGCGGAAATGTAAAGATGCTGAGTGAGTCTTGTGTTTCCTCCCAGGTTGTAGGAGAGACCCCGTGTGTGGCATTAGATGAAGCTCCATCCAGGTGTGAGAAGACTCCCGGAGAGGAGGAGGAGTCGGGGCAGCAAGTGACGCCCCTACCGGGCCTTAGCCCGACCCCCTCCCATCAGGAGGAGCACACAGAGGAGCAGCAGCGCCTACAGTTTCTGGTGAGAGCAGCAAGTGTTACGTTCAGCTGGCACGTCAAAATCATCCTGTTGTTAAGGAGAACCTTCAGACCAGCAGCATGCAGGGGTTTTCTGTTGTGCATACTCGGCCAGATTTTGGTTATTTTCTCAGTTTAATTTACAGACTGAGGACAAAACGGCTACAAATACTTCCTTAATATTTCTCAGCGTTATCAAATGTAGGAATTAGAGCCCTAGCTTGCTGATACTAGGTGGTTAATCATGTGTAGGGTTACTATATGCCACTGCCGTCGTGGCCTTCAGATCCGTCGTTTCCTCCAGACAGTCATTCATACACCCTCAGCAGCAATAACTGCATATTGTGCCCACTTGCAGGGATTTGGCTTTGCGATCCACTTTGCATTTTCATGTGAAACTAAAGCTTGAATATCAGCGCTGTGACTGAGCTGACTGCCGCTGAAGGAAAAACTACGGTCAGATTTGTTATGTAATGCTGGGATTATTTTGATCTTGTCCCTTGGAAACAGAAGAGTAGCACATCGCCCTTGCTGATTCTACAAGTAGGTCTCATGGCTTAAATAGACCGTATTTCCTCTCATCTCTGTGTTGACTTTCTTTGTCAGGACTGAAAATAGAAATTTTAGACAGTAACAGTGCACTGACATTGTACATCATGCCAGTTGAAAAGGAATTTAGAGGGCAAAGTGATTACAGGAGCACAGTATCAGTCAGCCAGACTGCACAGCCTGTATGATGCTACGGTATATGTGCTATGATTTCTGTCCATCAAGAACGCATCCGAACTACATACAGAACACACAGGAAGCTGGGAGAGCAGTTTTCTGGCAGTGAGAAAAGCGGTGATGTGCAGCTTTAACCTCTTAATACTCACTTGCCTGAAACCAGCTGCTGGATCCGTCTGAATTAAACTATACATCATTTGAAATCCTCACAGTTCAAACAGTGAAAACCGTTTTAAAATGCCAGAACCACAGCAGCAGTAGTCCTTTGTAATAAGAGTTTGTACACAGTAACACTGAAATTTCCTACATTTCCTGTTATATATAGTGGCTCACAAGAAGAGAG